GGTCCCCAGCGAGCCTCACCCGAGGGTCTTCACCACCCCCTCACCCAGACTGACCCCTCATCTACCTCCTTCCAGAGAAAAATCATCCAGGAGGGTGGGAGAGCTGCCTAACCCTGGTTAATGATTGTGTAATTCCTCTTGTCTGCTGGAGCCCGCAGCTGCTCCAGTAAACTTGGGAAGCCTGGGAGGACAGGGTGTTTTTGTAACCATTCTCATTTTCATGCCTCTTCTTAGCTAACAGGCATCATCCTGGAAGCATCCTGGCTTTCCCAAAACAATCTTCCCATGCGTGGGTGCTTGGGAAGCCGGGATGAAGCCACGGGAGCATCCGGCTTAACCGTGAACGTGCCGAGCCCTTCCAGCCACTCCATGTGCTCCCTTCCCTCCTTCTCCCCCTCTGTACCCGGCTCCAACTTGAAACACCAACCAAGTGGGTTTTCTTCCCTCCCTCCTCCTTCATATTTCTTTTCCTCCTGTGAAAGGAGGGGACGTTAATCCCACCCTAATTCAACCTGCAGGAGGATGTGATGGCTCGTGCCAACCCCAGCTGCAGGGACTGGCTCACAGGGACAACCCCCTTGTCCCCAGGGCTGGCACAGTGTCTCCTGGTGCAGGCAGGCATATATATTTTTTTTATTTTCTTTTCTTTTGTGGCCTCTGAACACCAGCATTTTTCAGGGCCATGGGAATTGCAGAGCCTCTTACAGCTCTGACTCCAGGAATGTCCCCATGGTGAGAGCTGGAATGGGAGATGTCAACATCTCCCTGACCTGGCCTGGATCAGGGAAGTGCGTGAAGGCTTTACCTCCTTTCCTGCATGAAAAGTGTTTGATTAAAGTGTTCTTCTAATGTTCTTTCCGCACTGCTTTGAGGGAGGTCTTTAAAATCAGGGGAGGGAGCGCTGCCAGAGCTCTGACTAAGCCTGACCTTGGATCCTGTGCCATATGGAGCTGTACTGCAGCGGCCGGGGTGCTGGGAAGCTGCAAATCGTTCCCTTCTGGCCTTGGGAGAGGGTTCCCAAATGTCTGTGAGCAGCTCAGGGCGTGGAGGTCACCTCAGCTTCAGCTGCAGGGTGAGAAGCGTGTGGGACCTGGCTGGTTCTGACATCCCCAGGGCGGGAATGCTGGGTCTGGGTTGGGTGCCATCACCCTTCCCTCCCTATCCCTTCCCTCCACATCCCTCCCGGGCTCTTCCTGCCCCGGGCTGAGGATGGAATCAGATCAGATCAGGGTGGGTTTGGAGTCATTAGGGCAGAGAGGGAGCAGACACTGCTGGATGGAGCTTATATAACCCCAGGCACAGCATCAGGCCCCTGCCAGGGCTGCAGTAACCCAGATACAGCCCAGGAAGGAAAAAAACTACTCGTGGGGCACAGTCTCTCCCTGGCTGGTTGCTCAGGAGTAAATATTTACGTGGCACTGCATCCGCCAGCAGCCGGAGCCTTGGGAAAAGCAGCCCAGCTCCCCCTTGGAGGGATGGGGATGAACTTTTAGCAGCTGAAATGGGAGCCCTCGTGTTGGAGAAGTTGGTGGGGGCAAATTCCTGATGTTGCCATCGATTCCTTGGGCAGGAATGGCCCCGTGTGAATCTGCTGATCCCAACATAAAGACAAGAAACGTTCAGGAGCTGCAGCGCCAGCACTGCCTTGCGACAGCTTTCCTTGCCCCAAAATCTCTTTCAGTTGAAGGATGGGTGTTTCCTCCAGTCCTTCAAGTGTTTAGACTGTGGTTAAAACTGGAATTCCAGTCCCATCTCCTTTCTGCCCTAACCCAAGGAATTGCTGACCACCAGCAATCCCCGTGTTCCCTTGCTGGGCACGTGGAAGCCGGGGTGCGTGATGTGGGCAAGGAGCTGTTTTAATAGGATCTATTAACTCCTGGATTTCCTTTTCCTTGTTTGCTCAAGCTCTCGGGGTTGGTGTTGACTCAACTGGTCTCTCTTTTAATAGTTTCGGTGCTGTTTGATGCTGTTCACAGGGGAGCTGCTTCCATGGAGTTTGTTTTCCAAAGAAAGAAACTTGAGTGACTGTGCGTGCCCCAAGCTGGGGATTTGGGGGTCAGGTGTTGCTCTCAGGGAAATGAGGTCTCAAGGGGAATTCCCTGCTGGTAGGATGCAGGAAAACTACTTGAAATACAGTGGGTGCTTCTTCATGGGTGAAGCTGCTCCGTGTGCTCGCCTGTGCATCCCTGTTCATCCTCCAAATGTGGATGTGCCAGGGACCAGCTGCCTCATCCCCTCAGCTCCCCACCACTTGTTTATTCAGGCTGTGCTGGCAGCAGCGTGCCAGGAGTCTCGTACGCCTGGTGTGGGCACTGCCTCCCCATTCCTGCTCCTCAGTCCTCAGGGAAGCACATCCCACACAGCCCTGCCAGCTGGGGGGACCTCTCAGATGCCAGTTCCTGCCCTTCTGTGGAAAGAACCACTTGCTGCTTAACAAAGGAACCTGAAGGAGCAGTGGGGTCTGGCTGTGCCCTCCTGCCCCGTGGTGGAGGATTTACAGACCCCACTGCAGCAGAAATCCCACTTTGGGGCAGGGGCACCACATTTGGGAACAGGAGGGTGGCACCAGTAGGTTCAGGTGAACAGCAACTAATCTTTACCAAATCAGCCAGAAACAGGAACCTGAAGGGTATTAAGCATTATTATTATTATTGTTGTTGTTATTGTTATTATTGTTATTATTATTCTAGTTATTACCAAGGCTTATTCCCCTTCCTGCTGCCCCCGGGTGTGCCCATGGCTGGCCATCCTCATCACCCAGCATCCTGCTGCAGCCTTCCTCATCCTGCCACAGCCTTCCTCATCCCCCAGGAGGGAAATTCAGGCACAGAGCTGGGATCAAACCAGTTCACCCCTGCCTGGCATCATCCCCACAGCGAGGGGTTTTCTTCCCACTAGTCACTCCCACCCCAAAGCGGGATGCTGGAACACTCAGAGCAGGATCCCAGCAGGATCCCACCAACAGATTGGTCCAGATGAGCTCTGGAGCGCTCTAAAAATACTAAAACAGAGAAAGCAGGGAGCAAAAAATGGCTGAGATTCAGTGAAATCAAAGGCATAATTAAAATGCAGCCCGTGTGAGTGTATTTTTAGGACCCTACAAAAAGGCTCTAAACCATTGAATTCCCATCAGCACACGAATGTTCCAGTTTAATGGAATCCTGGGGCCTGTGGGGAAAGAAGTGAGAGATGCTTAATTGTCAGTGTTTGTGTTTTATTCATGATTGAACATACTTACCAAGCAAAAACTGGTTTGCTGTGGGCTTCTCACTGCTTGTGTGGCTTTAAGCCTTATTCCAGCCAGCAATTGCCCAGCGTGCTGGAAGGGTCGGTTGTTCCTGGTGTTTGCATGAGCTGTGCATGGAAAAGGGATTATTGCCTCCCCTCCCATGGGGAGCACCCTGCCAGGGCTGCCTTGGGGTGCTCAGTGCTTGTGTGGGCTCCAGGGGATCCGAGACAGAGGAAAACCCTGTGGGGGTGAATCGGGAACTGCATCCAGGCTGAGAAGTCCCTGAACGCGGGTGGCTGGATTTTGGGAGAGCTCTGGGAGAAAGTCTGGATGTTCCCATCTCCTCCTGGCCTCCCCTCATACCTGAACCTGAAGCCACTGAGCATTTGCTGGTGCTGCTGTGGCAAAGCCAAGGTAGAAACCAGGCTCCTTCCCACATCGCTCCGGCACCAGGGACCCATTGGAGCAGCCGGAATGGTGCGGCCAGACCTGCACGGAGCCTCGGGCATGATGAACCCTCTGGGCTCACCCACCCTGTGCCTGCAGCTCAGGTGGCAATCTGGGATTTAATCCTGCCCCCGTGGCTGTGGCTGGGAGCTGATTCCCTGCCCGTCCTTAGGGAGGGATTGTGGAAGTGACACCTTTTCCCATCGGAGCCGGATTGATGCGGCGCCTTCCCCCGTCGACTGAGCAGGTGGAGGAGGGATGAGCCGGCCCCGTGGCGCAGATGTGGTCCCTGCAGGCTCAGGGAGGGGGCTCGGGGGGGGGCTCTGGATCGTCAGTGGGATCGTGACTCGTTATGGAATGGGATTTAATGTGTTGTGAAATGATGTGCAGATGGCACAGCCGCCCGGCCGGAAGGAACGCAGGAACACGGGATGCCAAGGCAGGGTTCCTTATTTTAAGCTGCTTCCCTTGCCAGGGAACAAATATGCCTCGCTTCAAAATAATAATTATAAAGCCTGGGAGAAGATCCAGGGAACCCAAAATCCTTCTGTGGGTATCGGTGTGTTGGCAGATGCCTGGCTGGGGGGTGTTTGGTGGGGGAATATCATCCCAGCAGGTCATGGCTGGCTCAGAGACCAGCATTTGGGGTCATGCTGTGATTAGAAAAGGGGAAAACATGTTCCCTGTTACCGTGCACCTCAAGGATTCATCCTGTCCCTGCTGCAACCAGGCATGTGAAACCTTCCTGCTGGCTCCTGAAGCTGCAGGAAGGCAAATTGCATCCTGAAACCCACCAGGCACCAGCCTGTCCCCTGCATCAGGGGTCACCAGGGATGGGCAGTGTGCTGCTGCCAGCACCTGGCATGCCAGGAATAATGGCACTGGGTGGGCAGGGTGCTGTCTGACAGGAGGGAAATGCCAGTGCCTACGTGTGCTCAGGATTAGCTGCAATGGGAAGAGCTGGAGCCAGTGACAGCTTGTGTGGGGAGAACTGTCTGTGCCACAGGCAGCTGTCGTGGGCCTGGGGGTCTGCAGAGAGACCCTGAGGTGTCCCAAGGGTGGCTGTTGAACTGGGATTTACTGTTATGTTCCGGCTTGAGATCAGCAGTGTCAGGGTGTGTGGGTCTGGTTTCCACTTGACAGAGTGTCAAGGTTTTCCTCTTGGGACAGGAGAGGAAACTGAGGCACACAAAGATAGTGGATGCTGAAGAGTGCAGGGAGGGCTGGGAACTGCTCCCTGACCCCAGCAGAGGTGTCCTCCTGCAGATAACACCTTCCATTTGTACAACCAACATGTGTCTTCCTCTCTCCTCCTCCTCTCCAGGCTTCCACGTGATCCCTTCAGTGTCCAGCATCGTTCCCGAGAGCTGCCTGCTCATCGTGGTGGGCCTTCTGGTGGGGGGGCTCATCAAAGGGGTGGGCGAGAAGCCCCCCATCCTCAAATCGGACATCTTCTTCCTCTTCCTCCTCCCACCCATCATCCTGGACGCCGGCTACTTCCTCCCCTTGCGCCAGTTCACCGAGAACCTGGGCACCATCCTCATCTTCGCCGTGGTGGGGACACTCTGGAACGCCTTCTTCCTGGGGGGGGCTGATGTACGCCGTGTGCCAGCTGGGTGGCCCCGGCCTCAACCACATCGGCCTCCTGGCCAACCTGCTTTTTGGCAGCATCATCTCTGCCGTGGACCCCGTGGCCGTGCTGGCCGTGTTTGAGGAGATCCACATCAACGAGCTGCTCCACATCCTGGTCTTCGGGGAGTCCCTGCTCAACGACGCCGTCACGGTGGTGAGTGCGTGGAGGGGCTCGGCCAAGGGGACGGGGTTGGGTTTGGGGGAGCATCTCGGGGTGGTGGCACCAGGACACCGGGACTGGCAGCTCATGTCAGGGCCATTCCAAGCTGCTCAGCTGCAGCAGCTCCGATCGCTCCGAACCTTGTCCAGCTCGAAGCTAAATATAGCGGCTTAAAACACTGCGGAGGTGAGTTAGGGTGAAGCGGTTTACTTGGTGGTCTGGGGAGGCCAAGGGCACATGTCCAGCCAGCTGCTGCCTCTTGGTGAAGAGCAGGGACTGTGCCTGGTGCCTTGGTTTGCTGGGAATCAGCTCTCCCAGGGTGGAATTGCTGCCGTGCCCATGCCTGTCCTGCCAGGGAAAGCAAGAGGGGCTGGTGCTGGGTCAGGCAGCACGGCCATGTAGCTACTGCTCCCTCTGTCTCCTCTCATGTGGTCACCCTTACTGTCCTCCAGATGCAGCCATGAGGAGGTGGGAGGGCAGGACATCACCAGCCATGGCAAGAGGGGAGCTGGGGGGCTGCAGCCAGGCTGGCATCTCACCAAACCACCCCTCAGCTCCATTTTGAGCAGCAGCTTTGCAGGGACCTTTGGGAGGTGGAGCCAGGCCTGCTCCATTTCCAAAGGACGTCAGTGTCCAGGTGCTGGCTCAGCCGTCAGTGTGGCCTCCTCCTCTCTGCAGAGCTGACCTCTAAATTTACTTCTAACCCACTGCTTTTTCCTGGCTCCTCTCCCATATCCCAGCTGTCCATTTCGGAGCTGGCTGCTCAGTGTGCTGCTGTGCTGCTGACGAGGTTCCTGGTGACGAGGAACATGCTGACCCACCACAGGGCTCCTCCCAGGCACTTCTCCCCCATTTTTGACCAGAGGGGCTGCCTGCAGGATCTGTGTCCCTGCTCCCATCCCTGGGGAATTCTTTTGCCTTCTGCTGCCACATCTGTCCCTGCCCATGTCCCAGGGCCCAGCCCTGGCAGGCAGGAGCTGGCACCTCGCCCTCTGCCTGCTTGCAAGTGCTGCTGTTCCTGCAGGATGCCCTAAATCCCTTTTCCCATCCTGACACGCTGCCTTAACATCTCTCCGGTGTCTGGAGGTGGGAGAAGGTGACACAGCCTTAGGTTGGGTCCTCCTGTGAGGTTTCCCTCAGTTCCAAAGCTGTCTCAAGGGTTTGGGCTCCTCTCCGGCTGAGCAGAGCAGATGGTGGCTTTTCTCTCTGTGCATCTGTCAAGGGTCTCCCAGCCTGGATCTGTCCTGACCTTTCCATTGGGAAACAGGAATGGTCTCTGGCTGGTTCAGACCATGACCAAAGCCCTTCCTGGGACAGTTGGAGAGCAGAGCTGTCCCAGACACATCTCTGATGGCCCAGTGTCCCTCTGAGCCACAGAGGACGAGGAGCTGGTCGGTCCCTATGGGTCTGTGTAGCAAAGCACCACCAGCCTTTTTTGGTGTGAGGCTTGGTCAAGCTCAGGACCCAGCCTGGGGTCACCAAGCACTGACACACCTCAGCTCAGGTGTGCCACGCTGGGGCCCTGCCTGGCTCCCAGGGAAGGTCCCCGTGCAGGTCTCCTCCAGGGTGGGGTTGTCTCTTGCCAGCAGGGCGGTTTGAACCCATCTCCTTACTCCCTCCCAGGTCCTCTACCACCTCTTTGAGGAGTTTGCCAACTTTGAGCAGGTGACCATCCTCGACATCATCCTCGGCTTCCTCAGCTTCTTCGTGGTGTCGCTGGGCGGCGTCTTGGTGGGCGTCATTTACGGGGTGATCGCCGCCTTCACGTCCCGCTTCACCTCCCACATCCGAGTCATCGAGCCCCTCTTCGTCTTCCTCTACAGCTACATGGCCTATCTCTCTGCAGAGCTCTTCCACCTCTCTGGCATCATGGCGTGAGTTGGGAATGGGGGGGATGAGACACCCTCCTGTCCCCAGGACCATTTGGAGGATTTATTGTGGTGTAACCACTGGCCCAGCATGGCCAGTAACTGCCCAGTGAGGGCCAGAGGTGCGTTTGGGGTGGTATAAGCAGGGAGGGAGATGAGGGAAGTGACTCTCTTGAGTTGTTCCGCAGATCCCAGGGTGCTGGCAGCCCCTTTCCCATTCTCCTGGGTACACAGGAGCAGGCATGGCCTGGCTCCAATGCTCACTCCTGCCCTGCCAGGGGGAAGGATAAACCTCCTGTTGCCTTCTCTGGAGGCCTTGAATAATTGCTGGTGCCTCACGAGCTTTGTCCTGCTCTGTGGTTTGGTGTAAGAGCACAAAATGCTGCTGCAGGGTCAGGGTTTGGGGCTGTCCCCCAAAACACTGATGCAGGGCCAGGGTTTGGTGCTGTCCCCATGTCCCCATGGCTGCTCAGTGTCCCAACCTTGCCCCCAGGCTCATCGCCTCTGGCGTGGTCATGAGGCCCTATGTGGAAGCCAACATCTCCCACAAGTCCCACACCACCATCAAGTATTTCCTCAAGATGTGGAGCAGCGTGAGCGAGACCCTCATCTTCATCTTCCTGGGTGTCTCCACCGTGGCTGGTCACCACTACTGGAACTGGACCTTCGTCATCAGCACGCTGCTCTTCTGCCTCATCGCCAGGGTGTTAGGTGAGGTGTCAGTGTGGTGGCAAAGTCCTTGGGGATGGTCACAGAATCATGGAATGGTTTGGGTTGGAAGGGACCTTAAACACATCTAGTTCCCCCCCTGCCATGGGCAGGGACACCTTCCACTAGCCCAGGTTGCTCCAAGCCCTGTCCAATGTGGCCTTGAATGGCCGCCCTGGTGTTGGGTCATGGGCAACTCTCAGGACCGTGATGCCCAGGTTTGCCTTGCTGGGGAGACTGGAGTTGACTGGGTGGCACTGCTCCACCGTGGGCATCACCCCTGCAGGTGGTTGGCTTTGGGAGATGGGGTAAAGGCCATGTTTGTCCCGGGTGTGGGATTGGAGCTGGTGAGGGGTGTTGGGATGAGCAGCAGGACAGCACCCACCTGCACCCACAACCCTGGGGAGGGTGACACTGCACTGCAGGCTGGGCTGCCAGGAGGTCTCTTTGGGTCTGGAAGGAATCCTTCACCATCTGCTCACACAAGACCCTGCTCTGCTCCCCCAGGTGTCCTGGTCCTCACCTGGTTCATCAACAAGTTCCGAATTGTGAAGCTGACGCCGAAGGACCAGTTCATCATCGCCTACGGGGGCCTGCGGGGAGCCATCGCCTTCTCCCTCGGGTACCTCCTGGACTACAAACATTTTGGCATGAGGGACATGTTCCTCACAGCCATCATCACCGTCATCTTCTTCACAGTTTTCGTGCAGGTTGGTGGTGCTCAGGTTGTGGCTTCAGAGGGAAAGGGGTTATTTAATGGCTCTGTGTGTGCCTGGAGAGTGAGGAGCACAACCCCACCCTCCCTCCCTGACCCTGTCACTGTCCCCCCAGAAGCTCTTGAGGTTGCCTGGTGACACCAACAGCGACTTGGCTGTGCTGAACCCCCCCCTGCTCCCACCAGTGTGCCTCGGGGAGAGATCTAACCCCCTCTCCCCCTTCCCTAGGGCATGACCATCCGGCCCTTGGTGGATCTGCTGGCCGTGAAGAAGAAGCAAGAGACAAAACGCTCCATCAACGAAGAGATCCACACGCAGGTAACGCGCTGCTCCGGCCGGCCCTCCCCGCGCGCTTCTCGTCGCCGCCTTAGCCCTCTGCTCTCTCTGCTTCTGCCACCTCCACCGCTGTAACCAGGCAGGTTCACAGAGCAGGACCTGCCCCTAAATCAGTGCCCAAGGTAAGGGGGGACAGAGCGAGGGCTCTCCCCCGTCTGTGTCGTCCAGTGCCCGCTCCGACCCAGCTCTCCTCTGTGCCTGGTAGAGCCGCAGCCTGGTTGTGTAGGTCTGTCCTGCCCTCCCGAGGCCCATCCTGGACCCACAGCCCTGATTTTGCACCCCCTGAGTGCCCTCTGTGTCAGCCTGGGTGTCGGGGTAGGGAGAGGGTGGGCAACAGCCCTCTGAGCTGCTGACGCCTCGGAGTGTCTCTTCCAGTTCTTGGATCACCTTCTGACGGGGATTGAGGATATCTGTGGTCACTACGGGCATCACCACTGGAAGGACAAGTGAGTGTGGAGGTTTGGTGGCTGGGGAAGGGTTTGAATCACCACCCAGAAGATTTCTCAGCCCCATGTTGGGTTTTTCCCTAGGCTGTAACATCCACACACACACTCCCTGCGGTGAATTATGGCCCTGAGTTGGGTCCAAGCAGGGCTGCAGGGCTGTGCCCCTTCACCACAGCAGGGTGGGAGCTGCTGGTGGCTGGTCCCTGCAGGAGCTCAGGACTGTCCATAGTGGGTGTGAGCAGCTTCTGGGTGTTTTGGAGTCTGTCTGGCTCAGGAGGGATTCAGAGAAGCTTGGCCTAACCTGCGCTGGTGGGAACTGAGCCCACCACTGACCGTGCTATCCTGGGCCAGGGATGGGGAGCAGGGAGTGGGTGGCAGGGCAGGGGGAGGTCTGACATGTTGCTGCTCCTTCTTTCCCCATGTCCTCGGGAAGGCTGAACCGCTTCAACAAGAAGTATGTGAAGAAGTGCCTGATTGCAGGGGAGCGCTCCAAGGAGCCCCAGCTCATCGCCTTCTACCACAAGATGGAGATGAAGCAGGCCATCGAGCTGGTGGAGAGTGGGGGCATAGGCAAGATCCCCTCCGCTGTCTCCACCGTCTCCATCCAGTGAGTTCCCAGCCCTCACACCTCCCGTGGGACCCTGAGTGCTCCCTGCTAGTGACCACAGGGCAAGCAGCCCTTGGGTCCTGTGTGGCCATCGTGGTGTCACTCTGAATCCTGTCTGTCCACACAGGAATATCAACCCCAAGTCCCTCCCTGTGGAGCGCATCCTTCCGGCCCTGTCCAAGGACAAGGAGGAGGAGATCCGGAAGATCCTCCGCAACAACCTGCAGAAAACCAGGCAGAGGGTGAGGTGTCCCCTGGCACCATGTGTGTCCCCTTTGCCTCGCTGGGGGTGGCCAGGACCACTGCCCACCAGAAGCCCTTAGCTGGGCCCTTCACTCCCACTGTCCCTACCCTGCTGCCCTTTGTGTTCCTGGCCTGGCTCTCCATCCCCAGGAGGCTTTTCCTCCTGAGATGGCACTGGGATAATCTGAGGGGAAGGATGGCTTGGTCAAGGGCTGAGCCCAGCCTTTAAACCCTCGCTGGGCCAAGGTGGGTCAGGATCAGGCATTCCACGGTGGCCCACAAGGGATGAGCCACCAGCTTGTCTGGAGCTGCTCTGCCCACTGGTGGCTGTTTCATCAATCTCCAGGGAAACCAGGGCTGTGACCTTCCTTCCCTTTCCGTGTGGGATTTTAACGCCTCCTTTCCTTGGGGTCTCTTCCCAGTTGCGATCCTACAACCGGCACACGCTCGTGGCTGACCCCTACGAGGAGGCCTGGAACCAGATGCTCCTGCGGAGGCAGAAGGCCCGGCAGCTGGAACAGAAGGTGTCAGGGGAATGCTGGAACCGGGATGCTGCACCAGGCTGAGGAGGATGGGGGGGCAGGTGGCTTCCCAGCCTGGGAAGCACATGAGCGTCCAGCACAGGGAGGGAGCTGAGGTTCAGATGACAGTGGGTGACCCCAAACCTTGGGGGTCTCTGATTGCCCCAGGCTCTGAGCAATTCCCTGCAGCATGGCTGGGAGGATGTGTGCACGTGTGCTTTGCATCCTGCTGCTGCTCCTTGCTCATCCCTGCGGCCTGGGGTCAGTTCCCTGCCTCCCCTTCCCCATGTACCTTGGCCATTCCCCTGAGACAGTCCCTGTGCTCCCATTCCAGATGAACAACTACCTGACGGTGCCGGCTCACAGGCTGGATTCACCCACCATGTCCCGGGCTCGCATAGGCTCAGGTAGGTGGGATGGAGCTGGGGATGGCGCTGTGGCAGAAGCATCACTGCTGGCACCCAAAACAGTCGGAGGGTGTGCTGTCCTGCACCTCCTCTGCTCCCTCTGGCTCTCCAGCCCCAACCATCCCCATCCCACACCCATCCAGCCAAGCCCCAGGGGTCTGCTGTTCTGAGCAGAAGCACCTAGTTTGCTCCTCAGCACAATTCCCACTGGGAAGTCGGGCTGGCCACTTTCTCCAGAGCTCAGTTTACTCCATCCACACAGCCATGTCTGTGTCCATGCCTTTCCCTGCCCTCCACAGGGGAGGAGACCAGGAGTGCTCAGCCCCAAGACCTGTTGGTCTGGATGCCCAGCTCCTCTGTCAAGCACGTGCTTTGCAATCCTCAGTTCATCCTGTCCTGTGTGTCCCTTCTTGCTCCGGTGACACAGTGACAGTGTGACGGGGCTGCAGAGGCTGCGGTCCATCAGCAGAGGGCAGCTTTGTCCTTCCAAATGGAGCCGGGCTGTCGGCGGCTCCAGACGGGATGTGGAAATCGGGGAAAGGAATTACACAGCAGAATTGGAAAGCAGAGAGACAACCCAGGCCCTCCAGCCCCAAACACCCCAGCCATAATATCTGGGGTGCATCACCTGGGTGTCCCTGAGACCCCCCCCCTTCCCTTCCTGACCCCTCTCTGCCCCGCCAGACCCGCTGGCCTACGAACCCAAGGCGGACTCGGAGAACCTGCCCATCATCACCATCGACCCGGCCTCGCCGCAGTCCCCCGAGTCCGTGGACCTGATGAACGAGGAGCCCAAGGGCTGCAGCGGCCTCCCGCCCTCGCCCGAGGAGGATGAGGAGGGGCTGGTGATGCGGGTGAAGGAGCCCTCCTCCCCGGGGACTGACGATGTCTTCACCCCGGGGACCGGCGACAGCCCCAGCAACCAGCGGATGCTGCGGTGCCTGAGCGACCCGGGGCCCCGGCCGGAGCCGGAGGAGGGGGAGCCCTTCATCCCCAAGGGGCAGTAGCTGCTGGCACGAAGCCTCGTTATCGTTACTCTCTCTCTTCATTCGTTCGTTCTTTGCTCTCCTTTTTTGGTTTCCTGTCACTACACACCAGGTTTGGGAAGGGGAGACTGTCCTGGATGGACTGGGAATTGCCAGGACAACTCTGCCCTGGGCTGGCCCCGATGAGCAGGGAAGGAGCCCCGGGATGCCCCGGGCTCCTCGGGTGCCGTGGCCTGGGGGTGACGGACGATTTACTGGGATTTGCAGGTGCCTCACAGCCCCCACGGGGCTCTCCTAGAGGTGCCCACCCACTCAGGACCTGCGAGTGGCTCCCTGGGGGGGCTGCGGCCAGCACAGGGGGCTCTGACCGGGGGCGTCCATAACAGCTCCCCCATGGCACAGCTTCCCCTCTCCCCAGTTGTGCTTTATCTGCCCCCTTGCCTTGCTCTGGAGCAGAGGGATGGGACAACAGGAGCCAGGCTCTATGTGGGGCTGGCACACACATACTCCCCCCAGGACCCTCCCAGGGACCTCGGGATGGTGCCTCTGCTCCCTGCCCTGGCCACTTCCCCCCAGGGCCAGCTGTGCCCGGGATTCTCCCCCCTGGCCCCACATTTCATGCCAGGTCTTGTCAAATAAATATCTTAGAGCCATGCAAGGGGGGAGCCAGGATCCCCTTTCTTTGAGCAGCCTCTCCATCCCTCCTGGAACCACTGTCACCTGTCCCCGTGGGGACTCTCCACCAGCCTTGGCCCCTCGCCCTGTGCCAGCGCGGCAGCGGCTGCTCCTTAACCAAAGACGGGGTCTGGGGTGTGCCAGGGGAGCATCTCCTACTTGGGGGGGATTATTTATCTCTCCTGCAACCAAGAGGAGCTGGGGGAGAGCTGAGGAACAGCATGGGGACACGTTGGGGTCGGGAAGTTGGCAGGAGGGTGATGTCAGGGGGTGCCAGGGGTCCTGGGTTTGGAAGGACCCGTCTTTCCCCCAGAGCTTGGCTGGAGGGATCACCGAGTGTTTTGGTGATTTACAGCCCTCCCCAGGCTCAGGGGTGTCCTGCATCCTGTCTGAGCACATCACCTCGTCCCCCACGTGCCACCCAGCTCCCACCACGTGGATGCCATGTGCCTCCCCTCCCTGGGGAGCCCCCCAGCCGCTTCCCCCCTCCCCGTGCCGTGCCTTGCCACGCGTCGCCTCTGCCCCGCTGCCTTGGTGGGCACCTGCCCCCCGTGCCCACCCTGCTCCACATCCCGCTGGGACCCCCAGGGGTCCAGTGTGTGCCGGGGTGAGCACCCACGTCGCTGCCTGCGCCTGCCTGCTGCCCTGCTCTGCCTCCAGGAGGGGAAAAAAAAAAAAAACAAAACCAACAACAAAAAGCAATGGAAATTCTCTTGTATAAAAAGGAAAAAAAAAAAAGAGGAAAAAAAAAAAAAAGGAAAAAACCAAACCCACATGTAAAGAGAGATTCTTGGTTTTTATCATAAATATTCTAATAAATTAATGTTAATTTTTAGTGGGGGTATTTTCCAGCTGTTCGGGCTCCTACCCTCTGCCACACGGTCCTGGCTGCCCCAGAGGAACAAGGTGGGTGTGAGGCTTCATCCCCAGCGCTGGGATGGAGAGTTTGCCCCTCACCCTCCTGCTGTGGCCTGGGGAGAACTGGAACCTCATCCCAGGGGGGGCTTTTTAAGCCATTCCCAGTTTTGGCAAAGATGGAGGCTCGACAGAGCCTGGGCTCCCACATCCCTCCCAGAGCCACACTGATGTAAGGGTGTGTTGGGAGGGAAAGGGCTGGTGGTCTCATGGGATGAAGGTGCTTTTGGAGGGGGATGGATCACCCTGGCACAACCCTGGGGTGCCAGCTAGATATCCCAGCACAGCTCTGCCCACCCCGAGCTTGGGATGTTGTCCCCAGGCAAGAAGGGGCAGCAGCTGCCTTGTCCTGGCACTGCAGCAGGGTTTTTTGGGGGGCTAAAGATTCCATCCTTAGGGAAGGGGGCTCGGGGACATCTGAGCCCTGTGATTTTTTTTCCTGGATTTCCCCAGGAGTTGGAGCTGAGCCCTCAGAGAGGAGCGTTTGCAGAGAGGGAAGAGGCTCAAGGCTGCCTGGGTTGCCCGGGTGAGGGCAACCCAAAAATCCCCCAGGATCCACCTCCCCAGCTCTAGCAGGGCTTGCACCTTTCTCCCCCCTCCCCACCAAGACCCCTCCCAGAGCCCGGGGCAGCCGGAGCCCCTCGCCCAGGGGCAGCTGCAATGGGAATGTGTTTCATGGCTGCAAATTAATGCCCTGAGCCACCAGGCGGCCGTGACTCAGCCCCCGCCCTCCAGCAGCGCGTCAGCGCCGGCCTTGCTCACCTGCTTAAAATACCTGAACCCCAGGGTCTCCTGTGGCCTCGGGCTGGGATTTGGCCAGGTCACCCTGCCCCGGGGGATCCCTCCTTGCCGAGGGGGGCCTGGGCGGTATGAGGTGGCCAGGGATGTGGGACAGGGGATGCCGTGGGGCAGGTGATGCTGTGGGGCCCATGGGATGGGCAAGGCCAGGGGGCCCATGAGCTGGGCGATGCTATGGGGCCCATGGGGCAGGCAATGACAGGACAAACAATGCCATGGGGCCCATGAGGTGGGTGATGCTGTTGGGCCCATGGGATGGGCAATGCCATGGGGCAGGTGATGCCATGGGGTGGGCAATGACATATGCCCCATGGAGGTGCCAGTTTGGTGAGTGCCATCCTCACACACCACACAAGGGTCGGGGTGGCTCATCCCCGGGGGCAGCAGTGCCAAAGCGGGAGGGTTTGGCAGGAACAGGCACAGCCAGGCCGTGGCTCTGTCCTCGCTGGAGGAAAGCAGCGGTTTTGCCATCCCAGCTCAAGGGGTAGGAGAACTAGAGGTGCTGGATACAGCCCAGGGCACGGAGGGAGCAGCAGGAGCACGGCAGCCCCGGGCAGTGCCCGGGAATCTCACCTGCCCACGTGCCAGCGAGCGTCACGTGCAGCCGTCCTCTTGGCTTCAGTCACAGCTTTAATGTGAGAGCTCCCCGAACCCAGGCATTTCCAGGATATTCTTGTTTCTGTCTTAAAGGGTGAGTAACTTTTTTTAATGAGGGAGGACTAATGATCCCCCCCCCAGGGATGGGCTGTCACCGCTGAGCAACTGCCAAAGCACACGAAGTGCCGAGGCCAGGGGTGGATGGGCCCTGGTGTGTCCCCCCAGCCCTATCCACAGTCCTGGTGATGATGCCTTTTCCCTATATATGGCTCCCTCCAGCCCTGTATCCCCCCTTTCCCTCCCAAAGTGTATTTGGGCCATGGTGGTGGCACCAAGGACATATCAAGTTCTTCCTGAACAGGATGTTCCTGAGCGGGACGACCTTGTCACACACATGCAGGTGCCGGGGTGTTTATCCCCCTTCCCCATAACCCCCATCCATGGGGGTTAAAGAGCTGCAGGAAACTGCTTCAGCCAGGAGATGGGCTCTCCTGTGCCTCAGTTTCCCTCTGTGGTCTGACATGAAGCCTGGGGGGCAGTGGGTGGCAGGAGGAGAGCGACCATTCCCACAGCCCCAGCAAGGACTGAGGGGACTTGGGAAAGGCCATGAAATCACTCCTCAAATCACTGGCTCCAGGCTGAGCAGCCCAACAAGGCAGAGCTCCTGGCTGGCTCCCCAAATTTCCCAGGAGGAGAGGCCAGCACGGTGATGGGACAAGGTGTCCTGGAGCTGCCACCACCCTCAGCCGTGCTCAGGTGTCACCCGGGGCCCAGGAACCCAAAGCGAAGGGAGCGGCTGCGCTCTCTGCCAGGCTCAAATTAGTGGCACTGAGATGGGTCATCCCCTGCCACGGCTTTAAAGGCACAAGTCATGCCAAGAAAAACAGCACGTGATGTCACTGGGAAGCCACTGAGCCTGGGGACACACAGGTCACTGTTCATGCTGCCAGGGGACGGGGACCTCCCCAGCTGGTGACACCCCAGGGAAGCTGCAAGAGGGCATCTCAGTCCCTGCCCACTCTGGGGCCAGGTTGGTGCTCCATGTCGGTGCTGTGTCCTTGTCCCTGAGCCCCAGGGGTGCCATGTCCTCCCCACACTCCCCAGGCAGCATTTTGCAGCAGCCAGGGGAGGTGACAGGAGCCATTCCCCAGCTCTGTGTCACCTGCAGTAATAACACCCTGTGCTCCCTTTCATCTCGGGGCCTCCCTGGTGGCCCCTCTCCAGGGCAAGGGCATCCCGGAGGCATCACTCATCATCCATTCCAGGAGGCAGCCGGGGATGGGGCCAAGTCTGGGGGTCCTGGATGGTGACACGGGGACCCCGGGCTGAGAGCAGAGAGTGACGGCAGAGAGTGACACCCCTCATGCCATGCAGTGAACACAAGTGCTCACTGTACACCTGTGCCAAATACAACCCCGCCATGGCCAGCACGGGAAAACCACCTCTCTGGGCAACTGTGGCCACTCGGGGCCACCACAGCAGCTGGTGGCACAGCCCCAGGGACAAGGGTTCCCCATCAGTGAGGGTCTGGGGACAGCGAGCACCAGTGGCACCTCTGGGATGGGCTGTGTGGGAGTGAGAGGAGCTGGACAGTGAACCCGAGTGACTGGGAGGTGTCCAGGAGCTGTGTTTGCCCAGGGAGGGTCTGGACACGGCCACAGAGGAGGGTTCCACCTCCTAAACCCACAGCGGGCACGTGGAGCCTGGCGTGAGTGGGGATGGCAGTGTGGGCGTGGGGACGGTGACAAGTGTGTGGGGACAGCAGCAGGTGTGCATGGGACAGCGGGCGTTTGTGTGGAGATGGTGGCAAGTGCGTGCATGGGGATGGCAGGGAAATGCATAGGGACGGCTGGTGCCTGCCGGGGGACAGCTGGCATCAGCGTGGGGACAGCTGTGTGCACGGGGACAGCTCATGTCTGCGTGGGGACAGTTTGTGCCGCCGTGGGGACAGCTGTGTGTCCACGGGGACAGCCGTGCGTGTGCACGGGGCAGCCCTGCACAGGACAGCCCGTGCGTGCCCGGGGAGAGCTGCCGTGGGCTTGGGGACAGCCCGCGTGTTCACGG